ATTTTGACAGCCTTTAGTATGAAGTATTATGATAAGGCCGTATTTATCTAATTTCTGCATTGCTTTCGTATAAACGTTTTTTTTTTTCGCAAAGTCAGATGTATGACATTAGGAGTGAACATTTCAAGACTTAAAATTATAAAAACAAAGAAACAAACTCAGGGATCTGCGACGAAAATTTAAAAGATAAGGTTCTATAAATGTGTGTGTATATTTTTTACAGAACTATATAAACGTAACTTTTAAATATTCTATGCGTAAGGAAACGTCGCAGCAGCAACAAACAATACAAGAAAGAGAAAGAAAAAAAACTAAAAACAATTTGAGAGGCACAGTTGCATGTATGACGCTTATGTGTAATCATTTTTAGATTGAAGTATACATATATGTACATATAAAAAACAAGAAACACAATGAAGTCCTAACCTAAAATACGCATAAATATGTTCCATTAAATGCATGTAAGCAACAAGGCAAATTGATTAAAAGCTTTACAAAAATATATTCGATACTATTTTCATAACGGGACATACAGACACCGCCTCAACAATTTTTTTAATTTGCATTGTTATTCGCCATATAATATATAGTAAAACAACAGCCAAATAAATTAAATAATGTCGAGGGTGCGAATTATTTGCAAATTACCAGGAAAAAATGATGTTCCAATATTATTGTATTTGTATCTGTCTAATGTTTAAGTATCTAATTTATAAAAGCGAAAAAGAAAAATGTAAAAAAAAATATTAAAAAGTAGAAAAAAGAAAAGCAAAAAATGAGTAATTTGAAGAATTTTTGTACCAAAACCGTAAAATTAAAAAAAAAAAAACAATGTATTGCAGAACTAAAAGCATAGAGTAATAAAAAAAAAAAATAGTTAATAAAGTATAATTTGTAATGTCGGTGCAAACTGGTGGTGACCTATAAAAAAAAAATTTAATATGATACACATGTATTTAAAAAAAAACATCGCATTTTAAAAAATTTGTTGTAGTATTTAAAAATTCGTGATTGAGTGTAGGTACCAATAACCACATTGCACCGACAAGAAGCGAGTACGAATGAACCGTTTCAAAAACTGTGTACACCTTCCATGAAGGCCTTAGAATAATTTGTGTAACACATTACACCGAGTAGCCTTAAATAATTTCTTTAAAAAAGCAAAAAATTCTGGAAAAAAATTACGAAGCCGATGAACACTTTAAAAAGCGTATAGCGCCCGTTGTTAGATTTGTAAAAAAAAAAAGATGTGCAGATCATGTGATCAAAGAAATGGCGTCGCGCCGCTAAATAACTATAAACTTAAAAAATACACGAGAAAAGTTTCTAACTTCTAGACGAAACCAAAATCACTAAATTATTGAAATATCATGTGAAACTCATGAGGTTAAGAGAAATAGTTTCTACTACCGAACGGGAAACAAATTCAGGAATGCCTGATTAACTCTGTATGTAATTGTATGTATAAAATCGTACGTGATCTTAGTGTTGGCAGGATCTAAAATGTCCGAAAAATGTGTCTTCAACGACAACCGCATCGACGGCTATTTTGGCGTTATGTATTTGTTAGGCTCAAATCTTAATTAATTATAATCATAATTCATGCGTTTTTTTTTTTTTTTTTGTTTACATATCTGCGGATGATCGCTTAAAACTATATTTTGCTGCACATCTTTTAAATAATTATACACTTGGTTTGCTATTATTTCATATATTATTGTCAGATTTTGAATAGATTATGGTGGATAAAAAATGTATTAATTTTCTTCTAAGATACGGCAAAATTATTGAGCATTTCTTGAGCTCATCAAGCTATCACATAAAACAAGAAACATAAAATGTAAATTAAAAGGGCGTTATATCCTACACCAATATCACTGACAACACTTACACAAATACACTTTATTCTAACCTATCCCCCCTCTCGCCTGTCAAAACTAATACCTGTACTTTCCCCACACATGAAAACACCCACCCACACTACATCCTACAATTCGTCACACAGAAGAAAAAACACTTAAGGGAAAATGCTTAAAACTGCTGCTCTAATGTTTGTAATGTATTCAATTTGTCAATGTAGCTATTGATGGAGCGAAGGGAGAAAGAAAAAATACAATAAATGCATTATTCCTATTGAAAAGGAGCAAACAAAAAAAGTTCAATTTTTAATTACTGGAATGGAATGAAAGAGGTAAGACATTTTATTTAATTCTACAGTACTTGCATATGTAGTTGAGTTGATCTGGACCGACATTCAGACTGGGTTAAAAGTTAAACCTTTTCTGGGGGGCGTAAACATCCAGCAGTCTAAACTGTTCAATTAAAATACACATCTCGAATGCATTATAAATGAGTTGCATTAAACATTTTAAGTTGCAATAACACATAGTATTTAATATAAACCTTAAGCAAATACTTCAAAGATGTATGATTTTTATAAATTAAAGAAGCAACTTTAAAAGAACTCCTCTCCAAAAGGTCTTCAATTTGTGCCACTCCATACAAAAAAAAAGGAGAAAGGAATGTAGAGTGGAAGGCCTCTTGACTCTCAGGAAGGCCTTTCAGAACGGCTTTTAGCTCCAGAAATTATATACTGGGTAGAGTGCCGTTTAAGAGATCCGAGCTCGAGCTTGAGTTCTCGGGCAGCGGAACTTTTTTTGCTTCTTTTTTAATAATTTTTTTTTCTTAATGTGATGTGGGTCGATGTTCCCTCAGCCATTGCCAAATTTGGTTTTGAGACAAACCGGTTACGGCGTTGTGCCATCTTCCCAAACCAAATTTCACAAAGGATGACGGAAAATCGTTCCACATTACATTACACTCCTACCCTGGCGAAAAAAAACAATTTTTCGTAGAAATGGTATAGAATCCTAGAAAATCAATATTTTCCATTCGCCAAACACTTTCTCTTCAGGAGACTTCCAGAAAAAATAAGCAATTGTTTATTTAAATGTTTATTAATATTAACAATGTTAAACAATTTTTAAATAACCAATTGGGTAAGATTTTTTGAAGTCTCCTGAAGAGAACCAGAGTTTGCCGATTGACAAACATTGCTTTTCAAGCATTCACTCCTCATTCAGAAAAAAATCGGTACGGTTTTTCCAATGGAATAAATCAGCCTGACACATATAAGGGCATTTTGAAAAATCCGCTTCCGTAACACCGCAAACCTCGATCAATTTTTGCGTATATATTGTAATTGCGGGAAGTTAGAGAACTTCGTATTGGCTTGCTTGCAGAGGAAAACGGCCCAGTAGATAATTTCAGGAGTTAAAAGACCTTCCGAAAGGCCTTCCTGAGAGTCAAGAGGCCTTCCACTCTGCATTTCTTTTTTTTTTGAATGGAGTGGCACAAATTGAAGGGCTTCTTCTTTCGCTACCCATGGAAGGCCTTCCAGAAGGGCTTTTATAGGACATACATCAGAAGGGCTTTTGGGGGAGTTCTTTTAAAGTTGCTTCCTTAATTTATAAAAATCATACATCTTTGAAGTATTTTATTAATACAAAAGCGAATTTTCATTTACAGTTTTTGACTTGTAATGTCACGTATTCGACATTTAGGTTTAGCGGCTGAGGCTCCGACACAGCGCAAAGGTCGACAATAAGGCGCTTGGTCATTACGAACGGATAGCACTTTCGTAGATTTCACTAAAATCGAGCCTACGATAGATTTAGTGATAGCCCTGCGCTGGCTATTCCTAATAGTCAGAATATATTGTTGCTTTACTGTTGCATCCGACTCTATTGCCTAAGATTATACAGGCTTCGAGGATACCTAAAACTTCCGCTTTAAAGATGCTTGTATACTTCCTCAATCGTAGAAAAGAGCGGGCTTGTTCGAGTTACAATCATAACCGCAGTGTTGCGCGAATTATTGAGAGTATCACGTTCGGTGTGAATTTCCAGCAACGAATTGTCAGTTGGGCAGTTGCAACAGTGTTGCAAATTTTCATCAGTACAGCAGTAATGCCGCTTTTGTTACGTGCCTCGAACAGGCCCAGCAACACCGAGTTTCTCGGGGTAGACTCCCGCTCCCACACTGCAATCCATCGGTTTATAAAGAGACAGCCTCTATCTGCCACTCGGTCTCTCCTCCCAGTCTCTTCTGGATGCAAATAACACTTGCACGTTAGAGCTGAGGTTTAGATTGCCTACCATATAGTTTGTCGTTCTACTTAATTGCATTTCATTGCGCTATGTAATTATTAGAAAAATGTTGCAGCCTTGTTACTTTCTTGATATGTACTTTGTTGCTGATGCTCAACTGGAATCTACTGAAATACTTAAGAAGTTGCAAACAGATCCAAGTTTTCGCGTAAGACTTGACGATCTTTCATAAAAAGTAAAACTGCCACATTTATTGAAGCTTGTATTTCGATTTAAGAAGAATTTGTATATCCCTGCTTTAAAACACCCCACTAGTCCTATATTTTTTTCGTGCTAAAAATGCGTTTCTGTAAAATGTTTCTTGTTGTCAATGCAGGTTTCATTTGAATTATCTTTACGCTGCAACGACTTGTTGCAACCTCTGACGCAATGCCCAGTCACTTGCATTGTGATGGAAAAGCAGTAACATTTGACCTGGTGTCGCAAGTTTTTTGGAATTCAGAAGCACTCCAATATGCCTCTCCCTCTTGAATTGCCATTTTTGAGCCTCTTGCCTTTGCAGGCTTGATGGCCGCCTAATAATCACTTATTTAGATAACCATAAAAAGTGTGATGATTTCTGCTATTGCGCGGACTTTCTGACAGGTGGTATAAGTACTTAAAGCACGCACAGCAAGAATTCCCTCCCGCTCTGATTAAACTTGTTAAGGAAATGAGCGAGAGCTCTTCCTTAAATTATAAAATTCAGTGTTATTTCGAATCCAGTTTTCTACCATCTCAACTGCCACGATTCAGGTAAAGGGATAGGGTTTTTCGTACATAGATAATAATTTCTAAAATTTCATGTAGTTGACCTAGCAATGCCTAAACCTAAAATTAAAAAAGCTGCTGTTAATTTTGTTTTCTTTATTTTATTTAAAAAATTTATTTTTTAACTCAAATAAAAACGATTTATTTTTCCGAGAAATCAAGGCGATTCCATATGCAAAGGATTGCAAGCAAAGCGTTTCTTCGAAAGGAAATACGACGAAAGTAAGCCTCTTCATCACACCTCGATTGCAGCATCCTTCACTTCATCATCAAACTTGATCTCCTTTCTGCCTCTGAATGTGATGTTGAAGCACTTTATTGAAATATAATTGACAACATAAATTTGTTGCATGTTTGAATGTTTTTAAAAATATTAGTTTTCTTTTTTAAATTTAGTCGCAAAATTTAGAAATCACTTGTCCATGTCATTGAAAAATAAACTTAATCAAAAATTTTAAGGTTAAATATTATATGTAAATATTGGGAAAAATCCAAGAGCAATAGAACTGGAAAATGCAGCCCGCCATGCTTGTGCAGCACAATACAGTGCAAGTTTCCAACCAGATTGAAGTGAGGAACGTTTTCCATTGAAAATAGCATCAACTTGCGAGAGTTTTGATGTTACTGTACAAAAACTGCCTCTTATATAAAGTATCGAACACTTTCGCCAATTGGCTGTTAATTGCCCTCAAGGCGCTAAAGCGTGTGAATCATGTCCAAAACTGTTTTTGAATTGAAAATGTATTCGATGCTCTCGATGGAAACATCATCGGGTATCACCCTACTAACCTTCCACCTTCCTCACAGGTTCCAACGTATTGCTCACATGATATGAAAAATTACGATGAAATTATTTTGGTATCAATTCGCTTCCATAGACACATGACATGTCTGTCCTATTCATACCTCAAACCTGGCGTTACTTTATCTTTCGTTTCTTTTTGCGGCGTCCTTTTAGCTCTCAACTCATTTTGTTTTTGGATTTTGTTGTTTGGTTGTATTTCCTTTTTTATCCTTTTCGTCGCTTCCAATTTCTCCTATTTAACCCATTTACGCACACGTTTTGCGCAGATAACGCACAGACCACTCTGTCGATGCGTACTCGCATTTTTACGCTATCGATGATTCGTACATCGGAATTGCCCCTTACTTGTCACAGCACAGCATTGCCCCAAATATAAGCTATATACTCCGGGTAATTTTGAGCGGAATTTTATTTCTTAATCGAAATTCCGATTCTGTTCGATTCTATCCATGCGGTCAGAGATCTATGTCTGCTGTTTCTGCAATTTTTTGTGTGCACGCTTCTTGTCTTCTTTGTTCTCTTTCGTTACATCAAAAAGTTTGTATTTGTTTGATATGAATTGTTGGTTTAACTGACTGCTGCTGCTTTTGCTTTTGTAGTTGGAATCAACCGTTGTATCAATAGGGCTGCGAGAATTGACTCTGGCTATTCAAGCCCAAATTTAGACGATTCGTGTTAAGATTATCCTGAAGCGAAGAAAAAAAAATAGCTTAATTTAATCATTGCCATTAGCTAAATTGTAAATTATAGAACGAACATTTCGATGTATATAGATTAAAATCTAATACTTTATTTGAGATCACTAATCATTTAATACGTACCGTACTAAAATTAACATCCTGTGAGAGAATATTATCTATTTGCGAGATTTGGCCAAAATCTTGCGACAACTCCGGCTGCTGTGAAAGTGTAAAGCCACCTGGTTGGCTCATTTGTTGCGACATATTTTGCTGGGTTAGTGGTAGGGCATTGTTCTGCGATGAAGTGGCAACCGATCCAATCAAAACATTAGCAATATCGTTGGCACCAGTTGCAATCGAAGCTGTGGCTGAAGGTGTTTGAATGCTGTTACGCGGTTTTGCATTTTGCATCTTATTAGCCGCGCCGGTGGCGGACACATTATAATTATTAAAGAGTTTGCTGCCTCCACTGGCGCTGTTATTGTTAACCATTCCGATTGCCCCTAAGCCACCGCCAGTGCGGCGGCCCTGTTTTGCTGCCGCTTGAATTGCCTGCTGATGTTGGTTGTAGAAACGCGGCGGAATATTGCTCATGTTCATGAACATGCCAACAGGTACTGGCATGTTATTCATTGCTGCTTGAGCACGCTCGGGCGAAATGTAGCTGATCGAGTCGTGATGATGATTCCACTGATGAGAGTTAACAGCAGATTGTTGTGTCGTTGAACCTGGACCGCTATTTCGAGCCCCAATCGGACCGAAGTTTCCGCTCATGAAATTGTTCAAACTATGGGCTGCGGCTGCCGCTGCTGCTTGCATTTGGGCAGCTGCTGATCCGCTCCCGTAACCCAAATTATTATTACCGCCAAATCCCAAACCTAAGCCCAGGCCGCTGTTGAAGTTAGATGTATTCATATTGCTCGATGCATATCCATATTGACCAGAACGATCGTAAATGGAGCCTGGAATCATTGCTTCTTTAGCATCGGCCATCATTGTAGTCATAAAGTGAGCACCCATATTTAGAGTATTGACTATTTTTTTGGGCTTTTGGAATTGTATTAATGATTCCTTCAAATTGTTTAGGGAACCTTCTACCAGCACCTTGCGATCTTTGTAGAAATTCAGTAAGTGATTCCAAAGTGGTTGCTTGGACAACACCTTAGGATTGCCCACAATGATTGTACCGTACTTTGAGCGAGTTAGTGCAACATTCAATCGACGAGGATCATTGAGAAAACCGATACCTATATTAATATACAAGTCAATTTAACATAATGCAATTTTTACGAAAAACGAATAACCCACCTTGGCGTTCATTTGAACGCACGCAAGACATAATAATAATGTCCTTTTCCCTGCCTTGGAAAGCATCCACGCTGGCAATCTCGATTTCCTGATACAACCTTGAGTGCAAACTGCCTTGGTATTGCATGTACTGCACCAAATACGCCCGCTGGCCTTCATACGGCGTAATTATGCCAATTTGCTCTGGCTTAACGCCTGCCTTCAAGAACCGTGTTGTTATTTTTTCGACATTTGCTGCTTCAGTACGATTCAAATATGAAGTTCCCGACCCCGCGATTTCCTCTTGTCCCTGAGTCACAAGGAAGAACATCGGCCTATCGGGTTGTGGCCACGGGAAATCAATTTTGAGTTTGCGATCTTCGGCACAAACACCGTTCTGCAGTGAGCCCTCATAGAAGAAGTTGGAGGGAAACTGGGACAATTCCGGATGCATACGATACTGAACTTCAAGACGGAAAGGCCGAATGCCCAAGACTACAAGACGTTCGAAGAGACTTTGCGACAGGCCAGCTCTAGCTGCTTTCTTACACATAACCACCGGTCCCAACTGACAGTGGTCGCCCACAAGGATCAATTGTTTTGCACCCAATACTACTGGTACCATGCATTCGGGCTCGGTAGACTGCATCGATTCGTCGATTAGAATAGAAGTAAATTTTATTCGTGCCAACCGCACGTCTCCCGCGCTAACGCATGTGCAACAAATAACATCAGCAGCCTCGAGCAGTTGATGTTCCGCGGCCCGCTTCAATGTTCTGTATCGCTTCTCATCGGCTGAACTTAATTCGCCCGTTTCGTCTTTAAGCTGTTGCAATTTTTTTAACTCAATATTTGTGTCCATATTACGGATTTGATTATGTAAAGCTAAAAAGCTAACTGGACTATCGATAGCTTCACGAGATTTGGCACAAAGCCGCACCACCTTCAAGTTTGTGCGATGGATTTTTTCCGTAAGTTGGTCTACAGCTGTATTGCTAGGTGCACAGACAAGCACGGTGCCTCCGTGTTGCTTCACCAATTGGTAAACTATTGTTGCAGAGGTCACAGTTTTCCCAGTACCTGGCGGACCTGAAAATTAAATAATATATATATTTAAATATATGTACAGCACGATCGATAGCATTTTCTCTGAATATGAAAAAAAAAACAGTTTTACCTTGGATCAAGCTTAACGGGCGTTGCAAAGCGTGTTTTACAGCATACACCTGCGATCGATTCAAATCCGGCAAATTGGGAGCACTGAAGAGTTTTGGTATTGGTCCTCGAAATAAAAGTTCATCACTGCCATCATGTCGGCCATGACCTAAAAGTCGTGCGTATATATAATTAGATACGGAGCTGCGGTCCATGGCGAATACTTTAAGGGCACGAGTCATTCGATCAAATGATGTGCACTTCCAAATAAAGTCCACCGCAAAATTGGAGGTGCATTTGACTGGCGCTCCGGCTGATGATTTTAGTTCCAATCCTACATCTTCGCCGTAATTATCTGGCACTTTTATGACATGCCCAATTTCACTCCATGCCTTATGAAGTTCCCCCACATAACGCAATCTTAATTCATCACCATGCATCAGTTTCATGTCCGAATCGGTTTTGGCGAGCGTGAAGTAGGCTATGGTTTTTTTGTTTAGTCCAACATCCCAACGTACTTCTATACCTTCTTGAGTTTGTGATTCTTTCAATTTTTTATCATACTCTGCTTCTAGTCGTACTAAAGGCCCAAACACTTTTTCATATTGGTAACCATCTTCATAACGTAGAAGCACTTGCGATGGCTCCGTATCTATTCCAGGCTTTTCCAAATCTTGAAATGTCGCATCAATATTCTCTTTCCACAACTCCTCCAACTTGTTTATCTGCGCTGCGGATATTTGTCGCGCACGCAACTGTTCTTGCTCAGTGGGTACCTTTACCAACCACGCCAAGAATGAGCGATCTGTTATTAGCGGCTTCCATTGCTCTTGATCCCAGTTCATATCTTTCAAAGAGTTTTGAGCTGCACATGGTTGGCTATGTAATAAACTAATTAATGGATTGTGTTCGGCAAACGCTTGTTTCTTTTCTACTTACCGACATAGTAACACCACTACAGAGTCTGCTTTCGCCGGAATAAATCCTAACACGAAAACATTACGCACGCCACACGAGTAACACTCCAAAACTGTTTCTCCCAGAGGTCCTTCGGAATGAAGTGTCACTTCCCGATGCTTCGCTCGTACCAAATGGTTAACAATATGCGACCCGGAAGTGCTACCCCGTCCATTACAGAACCATTTTTTGCAGTTATTGCACATAACTACAGTACCAGGATCGTGAATGCCACAATATTTGCAAGCATGTGTAGGCAGTTCCTTCACTGCCAGTATTGATGTATCGTCATCCTCTTCCTCAAACTGCAACTCTGCCAGATTGTTTGCTAGAGCATTTATCTTGTTCTAAAGGTGTTAAAATACACTTTGGAGTTTAAAAGGTATAAACATATAATTTCGGTAGTAATTACTTGAGCTGATGTACTGCCACCAATCCCTTCCAGTTGAGAAGCCTGTGTTTGTGATTGTGAGGGTAATGTAAAATCCCGAAAATCGAAGTCCGAAGCCTGTGTATCTGCGCCAATCAAGTCATTCTCCTCCGTATCCAGAAACGTCAAGGTTTGTGAACCAGGCCCGTAGGCGTCCACACTCATGGTTAAAGACGAATGTTTACGTCGTGTCGAAGACTACTATAGAGCTTACTTTTTGTTTTCGTGGTAATTGCGCGTTGAATATGCGGTTTTTCAATTTCTCCTACGCAAAACAGAAACCACGTCGCTACTTTTTTCCCAAATATAAACCGTCCAATCAATGTAGACGTTTACGTTTTTGTCACCGTCCGACTCGCTATCGTAGATGCGTGCAGCGAAAAAGTTGTTGGTGTTATGTCGTCGTTTTGAACGGCCGCTATTTCGTCGTTGTCACGCTGTTGCTTTGTTCTCTTCACTTATTTTCAGTCTTTCTTTTGTCCAAAAAATATCTTTTTTTCCAAGTGCACTCTTCGATAGCTGACGACAAATTTTTTGATGTGAAGTTTTTCAAGTCAATTGCTAGACCTCACTTTTTATAAACGGCTTGGAGCCTTTTTTTAATAAGTCTTTTGTCGCTCTACTTTATACGCAAATTATAAATTTATTCTGATTCATAGCAAACTTTTCTGACTTTATCCCATCAAGCGGGGTGAGAAATTCCCTCACATTTCCACACCGCCTTGCCAGACATTTAACTATGTTGCATACGCATCAAACATTGGGTTAATTAACTAAGTACTTTGCAATTAAGGAAGCAATGCCTTAAAACCAAAAAAATTTAGTAAAGTTGATATACTATTTTTCATATCCTATAATGGAAAATATACACGAATATTTTGCAAATACGTGAATTCCTAGATCCGGGAGCACTTTCGAGTATCCGAAACAGTGTTGCCAGTGTTACATCTAAGAACATGTGCTATTTTGTATACTTTCCAATTTCGGAATGTAATCTCTAAAGGCGGACCTCCATAAGCCTGCTATAGTGTTCAATGGGAGCGTGAGCGTGAACTTTTTATTTTCACCAATATCTTCGTTATTACTTAACTTTTTGCAATAGTTGATACATCAAAAGATAGAGATTAATATACGTTCACGCTTACGCTCGTATTGAACTGCATATCAAGCTATAGCATGCTTATCCGTATGCGTGAGTTTGACATTTACGCTTAGAAATCAAAATTCATACAATTTTCTTACATTTTTATGCCTTGCTATGTAGGTGCTACCATAAAAATTTTTATATTCAATTTTTCTTTCAAACGCACGCACACGTATACGCATGCTATGGAGATCCGTAAGTGTTTCCACCGCGTTTTCTTTGGATTTCGTTGACATTTGCTATTTTGTGTGTGTGTTTGCATGCGGTTGTTTATCATGAACCAACTAACAAGATCACGCAATCGGAAAAGAATGAAAAAAGTAAATTTCTTTCGTTTTTGACATCTGCCTAAAAATGAAAACAAACAAAGAAAACGAAAAAGGCGCGGTTATTGAGTGCGATTAGATTTGTATTTATTATAAAATATAAAAAGTGAAACTTGATGACAATTAGCAAAAAAAGTTCATAAAATATGGTTTTAATGATTGAGAGTGTTTTACAATCGCATATTAACGGCACCGGCCGATTTTTCAATGCCAACGTTCTGACCACAAATGTGCACCCACTTTTCACGCAAATTTACGCCTCTTGGCAAATCAAACAGACGCACAAACTTGTTCCAATCACAAAGCACTTCATATTATATCATAAATTTGTAATAAATCAAAATTTCTAATTAAAACCGCTGCAGAAAACACATAAAATCGCTAAAATATCACTACGAAGAGGTAGAAGACGATGTAAACAGAACCAAAAAACATCAAAAACGCTACGAAAACTTTTTTCTGAAAATCGATTACAAATACAACGATGGCGGATTACGTGATCTGTAGTCGTTGGTTCATGGTTGTTTATGTAGATAATTTTGACATTTCAAGTGAAACTGTCTACAGGGTTGATCTTTTTAATATCTAACGGTTTGTTTGTCTTACAAAAGTGGGGATTTCGACAGAATTCCGTCATTTTCGAACGTTCGCCAAAATGTTTATAGGGTTGTTTTATTACACCGTAAATTATAATGAACTGTTAAATCCTGAAAACGCTAGTACTTAAACCAAATTTACATAAAAATGCAGTTCTGGTTCACGTTATTCTACGTTTTGCTTGAAATACAGTACTGGCGCACGGCAAACTTCGACGAATTGGGCGATGCTGTCGTTACACACGGCGATTTTTATTGCGGCAACTCGACTTGTGTGCCAGAGAGCGTGACGAGGAAAGGAGAGGGGCACCAATTTGCTTGTGCTCGAGCAACACGCTTTGTGCTCTCATTCGTCTCTATAAATTGAGTTAAGGCTCAGTTATGCATACTTTCCACTGCACGGCATAGCATGTCATTTTACGTAGAATCCAAAAATCAACAGACTTCTACATATGTAATGCTGTGCATTGGGTAACCGCTTACACGCAAAGCTCATTTAACAGATTCCCTATGTGATGACTCTCATGCAATACTAAGGGCCGGTTACTCAATGTCTGGTTAACACTAATCTGCGGTTAAACATCGTTATCGACGTTACCGACTCCCTGTTGTATGCATGGAGTCGAAGACGTCGATAACGATGTTTAACCGCAGAATAGTGTTAACCAGACATTGAGTAACCGGCCCTAAGTATGTATAACTGGGCCTTTAGCGGTTCACAGCTGACAACAAGACATGATTCAATAAAAGGCCCTACACACGCATTGATTTATCGGCCAATCAGTTGACCAACCTACTTAACGAAACTCAACGCACCAACCAGTTTGCCGATTTCATTTGAGTGACTGTTTTTGAACTGTGAACACAACAGCACCGGTAAACTTTTAAGCTATGCCAGGAAAGCTGCTCATTTTTATGTATTTATTACTGCTACCGCCCCCGTTTTCACAAATTATACGCATTTTCACCAGCGAAAAGAACCGAAAAACACATGTTAACGTTAATGTGCCTTTAAAAAAAAATGAAATCGCATTTTAAGCTACCAACTTGTATACACACAGAGCAACAAGTTGACCAACCTGCCTCAAAAATCAAAAACTTTTGATTTTCTCCAACCTGACGAACAACTTGACGAAGGTTTGCCAACTTGCCTACACACGGCTTATTTACCACCAACTTCTAGCAGTTGGCCAACTGCTTGGCCGATAAATCGATCCGTGTGTAGGGCCTTTAAGCAGTGGCACCGTGTCGCTTCTTTGCAAATTTACTTTGAAAAAGTGTATCTTTGCTGAGAAATAGAAGAATAAGCTTTTGTGCAATATGTTTATTTGTATATGCGTATGAAGCACATTTAACTGATGAAAATATAAATTGTTTTTAAATTGGATGTTTACATAAATCTAATAGTAATTTTGTTTTAGTTTTGAGTCCTTTTGCAGTTTTTATGCAGCTAAATAGCACATAAATTACGTAATACATTTATATATATTCAGCCTTATCATGAGTTTCATTTTCCCTGAACCGGTTCACTTTTCACTTTTGGTTTCCATGATTTTCGGGTGAATTTTTTTTCAGGCGAAACTCAGAATAAGACAGATTAATATTTCGCTTAAAATGCCAGATTTCCTACAAATGCGTTAGGTTTTACAAAAGGAATTTCACTACTAATTACCTACTTTGCGTACTTTTCTACTACCATTTTCGCACCAAGGGATTTTATACTTCCCATATCTCCGTCCTTCGTAAATGTAACCTTTTGTAAGGGAGTGTCAAGCCGCAGCTGTCAATAATTATCTAACCATGTATTATCGGCTGCATTCCTTTATTTATTCTGAACGTTTGGAATAAACTTTTGTTTACCTTTTCTTTAGAACGTTCTGGTGATATGTTAACGTATATTTGAAACGTATTCTGTTTATTCCGGCTGTGAAATGGGATTATCCGGAATGTATAAAGAAACGCAGCCATTGAATCATGACAACAAGAATTGCATAAAAAAAAGTCGCCGTGTGCAAATCAAACGAGCAACACCAAAAGGGAATATGAAAAATCGCCTCGACCAAAATTTCCATGAATAAGCGCAGACTAAAGCGAAGCGCACATTGGCGCGATTCTGTCGTTGCGAATACGTTGCGAATTCGGCTGTTAACTTCGAATCCGCAAACGTGCGCACACTTGAGGGATTTTTTCGCGTCGATTTCCGATGTACAATTCACTCAATTTTCCCTGTATTTCGTGTATTTTCGCACTCGGCGTGCCCAAATCGTACAAAATACTATTATTACGAACGTTTTTATTAGTTTTTGTACATTACACGTTTTTTTTTCTTTGCCTTTATTGCTGTGACACCTTTCTTCTTCTTCTTTGACGCCTTCAAAACGCTGCAAGCCGCGTTTCGAACGCGTCAATAGAGAAGAACATTGAATGTTCGAAAAATTCGCAGCGACGGAATCGTGCAAGTGTGCGCTAGCGCATTAAAATGTATGGGTAGCATTGTTGTAATTTTTGGGCTTGCGGATTCCCAACGACAGAATCGCGCCAATGTGCGCTTCGCTTTAAGCTGCATTTACGCTGACGACACACAATCAGTTTTACCTTTCAATTTAATCTCACACATTACTTGTGAAACGTTACTAGCCATATAGCTCCCCCTATTATGAATTCGTACGATGCACGATAACCGCTTGCATTCTGTTATTCTCTATTACGAGTCGGTCTTGTCGAATGAGATCCGATAAATGTGAACAAAAACCACACTCATTCACAACAATACATCTTTCGGGCGTATGGAAAGGATAAGAGCCAAATTACACGATGACTTTTCACCCTGGGTGGAAAGTCATGCGTGTCGAGCTTGTTGGCAAGAAGTGTAGCGAAGTCAGCGGGGTAGGCAAGCAGCGAAATCGAGGGGTTTTTTTGACTTTTCGCTTTTATCGAGTTCACTTTTTCGTATTTTTGCTTTGAGTTCGAGATTTGCTCCGCTTTAAAATTGAGGACGAAAGAGTTGACCAAAGAAAATTTGACGTTTAAATGTCAAAAATACGCAAGAAACGCCGCAAAGAAAAAAGGTATCTTGCACGAGGATTTTCGAAGACTTTTTTAAAAGGGAACGTGCCAAAAACGCAGGGTGAAAAGTCGTCGTGTAAATTGGCTCTAATACGAGCGTTTATCGTAATTGGCTCTAATACGAGCGTTTATCGTAACGTCATCGTGTAATAAACAATTTTATGGAATTATCTACCAAGGTGCGTTCATGAAAGAAAGCAGATGAACTGAAAATTTAAGCAATTTATCCCTTTATCGCTTTATATGAAGACCCCTAATATTTAAAACATGATAAATTAAACGAACTACGATCCTAATTATCGACTTTAATAATCGATTATTCTATATCGGAAGTTTATTTCTCATCTCTAAAAGTAATAGCAAAAAAGTTAAGCTCTCGTTTACACAACAATTTAAATTGATCAATTAGGAGTTAATTGCGATATTTTAATTAGTTTATTGAAATTGTAATTAACCCAAAACAGAGATGGAAAACAGTAGCGGTAAGGATATATGTCTATTTTATAATTTCCAAAACAAGGTATTTATTAAATTTTCTGAAAGGTAAGAGACGACGCAATAGATGGGAAGAAGGCGGTGAAAAGGCATTACTGCAAATATGGGAGGAGAAGGTGGACAAACTTCGCGCCTTCAAGAAGAACCACCATGTCTTAATAGAGATGGTTGCAGAGATGGAATTAATGGACTACTATTACAATATGAGGGATATAAAGACGAAAATGCAAAATATGGTCGCCCGCTACCGGTAGCCGGTTTATAACAAATTTACTTTCGAATGAATACAATTTTCGAATATTTGCAGAAAGGAAAGAAAACTAGTAAAATCTGGAATGCCTTCAGTTTGGGACTACTATGAAGAGATGCACGCTATAATGACTCGCTATGAAAGTAACAACAGTGAAATACTGGCAAATTGCAGATCATTTAGTGCTGGTAATGAATATTAACATAAATTAACCGAACACGTATATACATCGCACTTGTTTTTAGTTAGTATAGATTTAGTGGTACATGTGGCTGAGTGGTTAGAGGTGCGTACACCCTTTCCGTAGGTGCTGGGTTCAATCCTTGGTCCGGCTATATGTTAATTTTAAAAAAGTTTTTTCTAACAGCCGCCGCCCCTCGGCAGGCGCGTTGGCAGACCTACGAGTGTATTTCTGTAATGGTCACAGGTAGCATCCGCGCAGAGAGCACAGCCCTTAAAAAAATTGAGTAACGTTAAAGGCTACAATTGATTTTTTGTAGTCATGCAAACGCCCTATCACAGGCTACCGAGATAGGTCGATCTTAATGTAAGAAGAGCGGTAATTTTTGCATACTTAATCCAATATTTTAATTTTTTTTTGGATTATGACTATTGAAGTAAACCCAGCAAACATTTGGAGTCGTAAATGGACTCCTATTTCGGAGCCTTTACGCTCATACTGAGCTCATTTAGGTGTCCGATATGAGGGTGATTGCCTTCCTCCGAAGGTCGCCTTATGTATGTATGTATATGAGCTTAAATTCATACATCAAATGAGCCTCAATATGAGTCATATTGGAGTCTTATTGGCCTCATGTACGGCTCATTTTGGACTCTTTAAAACAATTTTTGGCCTCATACCTATATGGATCATTTCAGACTCTTTTTGAAGCTCTTATCGGCCTCATAAATTACTACATTCGGACTCTTATTTTAGGCTGTTCTTTGAGTCTTATGGAATGCATTACATTTGCAAAGGCATTCAGCAAAAATTTCTTTCAAATAACATACATACATACTTACATCATATATGAATCCTAAAAGATTCATATAAGAGTAAACATTTTTTGTTTTTGAAACTCATATTTCTTACCACCTAGGACTCCTTTCGCACTTATATATTCTGAACGCTCAGAAATGTTTGCGGGCAATGAGGGATATGTACAAATGTATGTATAACAAGGGCTAATATTAAATACCTTTTTCACAAAAACTAATTGCTGATGTTTGAACCCATCTTGGGCTTAATTGTCATCGGTTATATTAATGTCGTCTATGTATATGTATATCTGTGGTCATAAGCATAACCAAGCCTAAGTCGACTTAAGAAA